TGCAGCAACATGTTGAACAAGATGTTTCAACTTACAGATTCAACATGTCGGATTGATGTCCTAACCAAAAGCATAGGATATCTGGTCTGTTACATTTTTGCAATTTGGAAAATATTTCAAACTGCAGTTTCAACATGTCGAATGCACTGTTCAAACTATAAGAACATGACATCTGGACTGTTACATCTTTGCAGTTTGGAAGTTGTTTCAACTTGCTGTTTGAACATGTCGAATGGGATGTCCTAACTAGAAGTATAGGACATCATGTCTGCTACAACTAACAGTTTGGATTAAGTTGTTGTGATTTAATTATTGAATATTCTGGGAATATTTAGTAATCCTATGTGGCGTTCAAGATTGATAAATCAGAGATGTTATGTTGGTTTTTCAAGATATTCAAACTTTCTAAATATGGAGACCTTTTAGGAGAGTTATGATTAAAGACCTATTTTCTATGAGATGTTTTTGCAGACTTTGTGCAGCCTCTCTGCTGTGCTTTTGAAGCCCAAATCCAGCTGACGAAAGGTTTATAAATAGAAGTATTTGTAACCTAGTTTGGTACGAGTCTAGTATGTAAAAATATTAGGGTTTCATCAATTTAGCCACTCTCTAGGAGAGTTGGTGAAAGTGAACCACTCGGGTTGTGAGATGGTCACTATGTTCTCCTCGAAGTTGTGAAGCAAGAATGGGTATTGTTCTTGGAGGAGGCTTGTAAGCAACTCCAAGTTATGTTCTTAGTCAAAAGTCTTGGCTAGTGAATTGTCATAGAATTGTGTCTTCTAGTGTTTTGTATTTGAAGTGTGATCTTCATGTAGGTGAAAGGTCATCGATACAATGACTAAGATTGTTAACTGTTAGACATCATTGTGGTGATTGGAAGTGAGTGGGGATACTCATATCTATGAGTTCCTAGGTAGAAGTTGCATTGGGTAGGCATTAAGTGAGAAGTTGTAAACAAGGGAGTTTAACTTCGAATTGATACTACAGATAGTGGATTTACTTTCTGGTTTGGTAGCCCCCTTAGTAGGTGTTGTTGTCACTGAACTGGGTAATCAGATATGTGTGTTATTTATGCTTTTTAAGTACTGTTTATATTGTTTATGTCTTTCCATGTTATTTTTGTCAAACCAGATGTCTCGACATTCTATAGGACATCTGAGTTCTGACCTACCAGAATTTTAGTATGTATAATATGTTGCATGCATTCATGGTGGTATGGAATGTGTTGTTGAAATGTATGTTGTGCTTGTAATAATTTTTTACTCACTTATTATTGTGCATTCCCTTATATAATTATGATTTCTCACTCTTTATGTTTGAATATTACCTCTACGTGGAAAACATGCGATACTCAAGAGTAGTTCGACGTTGAAGTGAGTGAAAGATGAAGTCTTCCTTTTGTTTTATAGAGTCGGTGTCTGCTTTGATTTATTTTAAAAACATGATTATGATTTGAATTATCAAACTGTCAAGTTGTTTATGTTTTCCGATGCAATAAAACTTGAAGTTCCAAACATGTTCTATTGTTATAATTATTTTAATAATTTTTGAAATAGAGAGTGTTACATGTCTGATTACATGAGCAGGTTTTGTTGAATTGTGATATCTTAAATGTTTATGTGTTAATTTTACTCTGATAGTTATTATAAATTATGCGGGGGATATTTAGGGTGTTATATTTTACCGTCAGATTAGTGAGCAGATACATGAGTGAATCAAGAGTGTCCCACATGAAGGCTGTAAGAAGAATTTCGAGATGCTTAAAAAGATTGATAAACTATGGAATTCTATTTCGACGAGACTTTGAAAGCAAGAAGCAACAATTACATGTTTTTCAGATATCGATTGGTGTGGAGATAAGGAAGATCGAAGAAGCACAACTTGATATTTCTTTCAAGTCTTTGGGGCCCTAATCTCATGGTGCTCGAAAAAACAACTTGTGGTGGCATTATCATCGTGTGAAGTTGAATATATAATAGGATCCTATGTTGCATGTCAAACAATTTGGATCAGATAAGTACTTGAAGAAATGGAGGTCAAAGTGAAGAAACCTCTTGTGTTGCAAATCGACAACAAGTCAACCATAAATCTGACAAAGAATCTTGTTCTGTATGGAAGGAGTAAGCATATCGAAGTTAGATTTTATTTCTTGAGGAAAAAGGTAAATCCAGGAGAACTTGAAGTTAGACATTGCTCAAGTGAAACACAGTTGACCGACATTTTCACCAAAGGATTGAAGATCGACAAATTCTTAAATTTGAAAAAAAAAATTAAAAATAATTCAGATTGACTATTTGTAGAGCATGTTCGACAACTTATATGAAATATGTTGAGATATTAAACTTAATCTAAGTTGTGTAACCTAAATACAAACTCACTTAAAATTTGTTAGCCTATTTAATGCATACGTTAGAGAGATATAAATAATTATAATTTATATTATTATTTATACATTTTAATTCAATAATAAAATTATTATTTCCTTTTGTTTTTTCTACCATAATACGCGCACTAACAAAAATGACATTATGAGACAAACATACATAAAAGCAAGAGTCTCTGACACACAATAATTCAAAGGAAATGGACACCATAGACATGCAATAATTCAAGTTGTACACGCCACCTCGTGATCTTGAAAATTAAAGGAATCATTTCCTGTTGCACTTTTTCAAGGCTCAAGCTCCCCCACTCTATGATGACTAATGATAAATATAGAGAAATGAATACTACAAAATGTTCTCTTTGTTATTTATTTTACGTTTTTTTAGATTTTTTTTATATGATACAAGCTTATTAGTATTTTGTTATTTTTAATATTTGTTTTTTGTTTTTTATTTTATAATATCCATAATTATTTGTAAAATAATGATAATTAATTTTTTTTTATAATTTGAAAAAGTGATGCTTAAAGAAAACTCTAAGAGCATCTTCAATGGTGCAACTCAATTTTGGGTTCTTTGCGGGACTCATTAAGCCACGTCAGCTTGAAGCAACCCAACTAGTTTTTCACTTCAATGGTGCAACTCTAAAGAACTCATAATGGGTCCCACAATTTTACTTTATATATTAATATTTTATTCATATTAAATTCTATATCATTTAAAATAATAATTTTAATTATTTAAATTAAAATTTATATAAAATAAATAAAATTCAAATTAAACTTATAATTTAAAATGATAATTAAAATTAATTTCAAATACATTACATATAATTAAAAACAATAAAAATAAATAACATCACATAAATTAATCAAACTTAAATTTCATCATCTTCATGTCCAAAACGTTCCCAAATATACTCGACTAGATCTCCTTGAAGTTGACGATGAACTTGTTTTTCACGAATATTTGCTCTTCTTTGTAGTCTTGTTGCAAGATTCGGATGAGGACCGCTAAATGTTTCAGTTGTTGAGTGATTGTTATCCACATTATCATAAGAGTAATCAAAATTACCTCCATATGTATGTCGTTCATCTTCAACAATCATGTTGTGCAATATGATGCACGCATATATGGTATGTTTGAGGGTGTCCATGTGCCAGGCACGCGCTGGGCCACGTATAATTGTAAATCGAGATTGAAGCACTCCAAATACCCTCTCCACATCTTTTCTAGCTGATTCTTGATGTTGAGCAAATAATTTTTTCTTCTCTCTGTGTGGCATTGAAATGGTCTTCACAAATGTAGCCCACTCAGGATATATACCATCGGCTAAATAATACCCCATATTATATGGTGTTCCATTGATTGTATATTGCACATTGGGAGCATGTCCTTCCAAAATATCGTTAAACACGTTGGATTGGTTTAACACATTAATGTCATTGTTTGAACCAACAATACCAAAAAAAGCATGCCAAATCCATAAGTCCTGTGATGCCACTGCTTCAAGCATGATTGTGGGCTTTCCATGATCACCTCGACAAAATTGTCCTTTCCATGCAACAGGACAATTTTTCCACTCCCAATGCATACAATCAATGGAACCCAACATACCTGGAAAGCCACGTGACTCTCCCATTTGTAAAAGATGTTCAACATCAGTGTTGTTAGGATTTCTCAAATACTCAGCCCCAAATACAGCATTCACGCCCCGAACGAATCTTTGTAAGCACTCAATTGAAGTGCTTTCACCTATTCGAACATATTCGTCTACAACGTCAGCAGGAGACCCATACGCCAACATACGAATAGCAGATGTACATTTCTGCAATGGTGAAAGACCCATTTTACGAATTGCATCAACCCTCATTTGGAAATATTCATCATGATTTCCAAGGGCATCTACAATTCGAAGAAATACATGCCTATGCATTCTGAACCTTCTTCGGAATTGAACATCTGTGTATACTTGGTTTTCCGAGAAGTAGTCATTGAATAATCGATTGTGCCCTTCTTCACGACTACGATCTACCATTGTTCTTCTCTTTGGCATAGATGAACTTCCAGATTGACGTTCATTTTCAAGCAATTGTTCTTCATCACTATCGTCGATAAATTCTTCTTCAATCAACTCCCAAAATTCTTGGTCAAAATCATCTGAATTGTCTGAATCCATTTTAGTGAATTAAGAATGATAGAAAAATGAGAGAAGAATTAGAGAAGTATGATAGAAGAATAAGATGAGAATGGGAAAACAATGACATAAGTGATAGTATATATAATGGTTTGAATAACGGCTAGTTTGAATAACGGCTAGTTTGAATAACGGCTAGTTTGAATAAAGGATAGTTTGAATAACGGCTAGTTTGAATAACGGCTAGTTTGAATAAAGGATAGTTTGAATAACGGCTAGTTTGAATAAAGGATAGTTTGAATAACGACTAGTTTGAATAACGGCTAGTTTGAATAACATAATATTTATTATAATTTAAAGTGGTACTAATGACCATTTTACATAGGTGTTGATAAATTAAAGTGGTACTAATGACCATTTTACATAGGTGTTGATAAATTAAAGTGGTACTAATGACCATTTTACGTCAATGATACTAACTACATTCCATATTTTTTTTTCATCTTATTACAATATTTTTCATGAATATCTCGTTGATTATCATTCATAGTAGAAGTGTCTTTCATGATGATATTCATTGCCTTTAGTTCTAGCTCGTCCTCCTTACATTGAGCTAGTCTTTCCATTGATGCTGCTCTTTTAATCCTTGCATCTTGCATTGCATTTGGAATTTCCTTTGCCTTACCCTTCCTTTTTGCTGCTTTTTGTCCCATTGGACGCTCCATTGGTGATGATGAGTTAAACTCATAACTTGAAGGTGTATTTGGGTTATCCGATGATGCCCCACTAGCAGAGCTCTTTGTAATTTTTGAAGAATTTCCAATCGATTCTCCCATCCATTTAGGTTCATCTTTTAACAATCGCCATACATACTCAAGATTGAATGTTGTACCTTCATCCTGAGCAAAAAAAGCATGTGCAGCAACCATGATATCATTCTCCGATGTCCCACTTTTTTTTTCCATTAACAGCTTGTTTGTAACACCCAACAAATTTTTGAACCAAGCCATTTATCCGATGCCATCGACATTTTAATTGCCCGCCTAACTTTTCCCGCGATTGCCCACGATACTGGTTATAATTGGCAGCGATTCTTAACCAAAAACTCTCAGCTTTTTGATCAACTCCCACAATTGGATCCTTTGAAACAATGAGCCATGATTGGATAAGTAGTATATCTTCATCCCTTGTAAATTGCTCTCGAGATTTTTTTTAACGACAACCCTTTCTTCTTTTTCAGTACCAACTTGAGTAGAAACTGGTGGAACTTGACATCCGGACATAAACCCAATCGGTGTTTCCGGAAAAAAATATGGCGGGGTTTGTTGGCACAGATGGAAATTGAGAATTTTGAGGATTAGGATTTTGATAATTTGACATGTAATTGAACATAGCTTGTTGATAATGAAAATGATTAGGATCCATTTGGCCTAAACAATTTTAATTTAAAGTAGGAAGATGATATTGTGAGAAAGAAATAAAATTATGAGAGTAAATTGTGAGAAATAAATAAAATTATGAGAACAAATTGAGAGAAAGAAATAAATTTATGAGAGTAAATTTGAGTATACAACTTATCACTTTATCATATTTATAAAGAAATAAATTATTAAAATAAAATAAAAACAAAAAAAAAATGAACCGTTATGCAATGGCTAGTTAATTTATATTATTTTTTTAAAATAAGGACCGTTGCTTCAACGTAATACGTTCTCCACTTGGAGAACTCTTGCAGCTACTTTATTTAACTTTAATGTTGCCAGGTGGAAAACTTAACATAAGAACCCAACATTGGAGCTGGTCTAAAAGTATAAGAAATTGGGATTGATATTACCTTATCTAACAAATCACATGTTTCTCATTATTACATTCTATAAGTTTCTCATTATTACATTCTATAAGTACACTAGACAGTACTAGTATTTTAACGTTTTGATACCAACCAAAAATAGAGATTTTTCTTTAAATAACTACTTTTTTTAAATTTTTTTTTTCAAATAACTATTTTTTTAAAAAATTTACTAAAGTAATTATTTTTCAAAAAAAAACAAATACATAAGTGAAACCACTCTGTGTAGCGCATACATGTAAATTAGAGAGGAGGCGTCACACTGCATGACTTGTCCTCTTATGTAATGTCATGCAGTGTGGCGCATGCATGTAATTTTAAAGAGGAAACGCCATATTAAATGGCTTGACAGTTGTATTTGGTTTTCTATAAATGCAACCACACATCTTCACCATTTTTCACATCATTTCTCACATCACTCTTAGAAAATGTCTTCCACTCCCTTGCCAATGTTTTCCACTCCATTTCCAAGGTTTTCACTGATCAAAAGAGATACTCATGTTATTTTTTCGACGACAAAGCCTTCGATGAAGATCAAACTTTGGAACACGCAAAGGTTCGAGCATTTTCAGAGGCACTTGATTTGCTTGTTGGAAGGACACATTTCTGAAGGCGAATAGATCAGAAAAATAGAAAGACAAATTACAGTGAGGAACAAAAAAGGAGTAAGTCATTTGCGAAAAAGGTGAGATGAAACGCTGATGTCATGATGATGATGCTTGGACCAGACGATGTTGTGTTGATGGTTTTTATCTCTTAGATATTATGATGTGCTTAGTTGTCTTGTCTGCTTATCATGTTGTTGTGTTGTAATTTTTTGGACAATTATCTGAAGATTATTTTAATCGAATGTTAACTTGAACACAAAATGAAAACCTGAACTTAAATTGAAATTTCTTGCTTACAATAAATTAATTACTCCATAAAGTTTGCTATTAAAAAATTAGGTTGCAGAGCTAGACCCAATATTCAGACAATTTTTTTTATTGTGCCCGGAAAGACGACATGTATTGTATGATCTTATCATTTTGTTAGCCATATCTATTTCAGTTCTAATACGAGTTCTATTGCAGCGCCCCTTTTTCTTCCTTCGCATTTGTTCATTGTGCCAGACAATGTCCCCTTGTTAAGCAGGCCAATAATTCTCCTTTGCCAACACGGAGAAGGTATTGATGTACACACTTAAAACACTCTTGATTGTGTAAACGAGGGATATATGTCCTATTGGGTCCAAGCGAACATTCAAACATGCCGCTATGACATGAGAGCAAGGCATGCGAAATGCTTGAAACTTTCTGCAATCGCACCAACTTCTATCTAGTTCGACCCAATAGTATCCCCTTGGCCTCCCCTCATTATGATCCATTATCTCTTGTACACTGAACCAACCTTTAATACGGTCAAACACAATGACACTATGGGAGTTAGCTTTGGCATCCTCCTCGTTAAATGATTTCATTGTGCATTCACTGAACAACTGCCCTGATTGTAACACTGCCCTCCATTTTAAAGTTCTTGTATTGAACAATGACCACAACAAAAAATATGTTGCTCTAACTAATGTAGTAACTAGTAGGTTTCAGATGCCTTTAAAGACATAGTTCAATGATTCCACCAATTTTGTTGTCATGTGGCCCCATCGTTGACCATTGTCAAATGCCCGAGTCTACTTCTCCACTTGAATGTTATCGATCCACCTTAACGCTTATGAGTTTGTCAAACGGATTTCTTCGCGATAGTGTTGGAATGATGGTTCTATTAAGGCATACCCTGCATTATCAACTTTCTTTCAAACTGTCTTGTCTTTGATATGGAGCATGAAGTTTTGTATGATATGTCTAATGCAATAGACATGTGTTGAAAGGGGATCCTGCCAACCGTTATCAGGGTTATTGTATGCACTCACAATCGATGGATGTCTGTCTGAAATCAAACAAAGGTTGGGTTGAGGAGGAATGTGTAATCTTAGATTCTTCAGAAAGAAATTACACGCATCACTTGTCTCACCTTCAACTAGAGCGAAGACAATCGGAAAAATATTAATGTTTCCATCTTGTGCCACTGCCATGAGTAATGTTCTTTTATACTTTCCGCATAACCAAGTTCCATCAATCTGTATAATAGGTTTGCAAAATGTAAAACCTTTGATGTATGATTCATATGCCCAGAACAATCGATGAAATATTCTATTTCCACTTACACGAGTTATTTCTGGGGTAAATGCTAGGAGTGTCTCCAAAATTATAACAACTCCCAGAGCATAATATTTGAGTGCCACCCTGTAAGAGGGAATATAATTGAATCTTGTAACAATGTGAGAAATAATTGTACTCACCTTTAATGATGGATCCTTGCTAATAAGAGGCAAGATTTCTTGACATATTAGTTAAGAACTAAGTTTTCGTTGATCCTGCGTCGGAACGGTGGTGATGCAAGTGTGGAGTGGATTAATGGTACATATTTCCCATGAATCACTTCTCTTCCTGTAATATGCAGTTAATCGAAAAGGGAAAATTGGTTTTTGATGACATAAAATAATGCACCTACCTGAATTAGTTCGATCTATAATGAAGTCAGCTAAAATTTCCATGTGGTATTTTTTGATAGCTCTAACACACTCTTCTTTTGTACGAAATTTGTCTCCAACTTTCAAGTCCCCTTCGGTCTGCATATATAGATTGTGAAAGATGTCTGAGGCTGGTTCGTCTTCCCCCAAATTCAAGTTCGTCAAGTGAAACAAAGGATCGTACGCATGACTCGTAGGTAGAGATTCATGCTCTTGATCTGCAGCGTCATCATTGACCATAAAATCAATCATTGCCTCATCTTTTTCTTCTTGGTTAATAACATTGACTTCGAGGTGGTTGTCCTCGTTAGATTCGTCCACTTGTTCAAAATCTTGAGAAGGATATACGACCTGAGATTGATCAGGTTGTTGTAATAAAACATACAATTAAATTTCATTGAACCCAAATTGTTCATGAGTTTGAAACATGTTTCGAACATCATCATCGTCACGCACCTTTAGTTGAAAACATTTGACTTGGTTGTTGTAAAATAGAAATGAAGACTTGTAAATAATTTGGTAAACTGGTGCACACTGCAATTTTGCTTCTAGTATATCTTTGAAACGTGCAAAACTTGATTTCTTGTTTGTCCTAAAGCAGATAAAATCAGTATTACGAAAATTAAAATCGAAGTTAACGCAGTTGAACGTCTCACCGTTAATATGAGCAAAAATGCTATAATATTGTGAATGATCTATATGTTGAGGTATGTTTTTGTGATTTATGGATGTACACCACTAATGCGCCTTAAACGGACACTTAAATATATGCATGAAAGTATGAGAAATACAACACTAATGCGCCACCCCAAGACGGCTTCTCTTCTAAAATTACAACATATGCGCCACGTAGGGTGGCTTGTCCTCTAATTTTTGTAAGCATGCGCCAACTTGTGTGGCTTGTCACGTGAATGAAAAGCTTGCATGCATGCAATCTGACCACTTCCACGTTGCAGCTTTGCATGCATGCAAAAAGGAAAAAGCCATGTTGAATGGCGCCTTAATGTAAAAACAAAATGATGCACCATCTAGGGTGGTGCCTACGTGTTAATTGCATGCAGAGCATTCTAACATGAATGCATATCATTTCTCCATATTTTACTATAAATACATATACCATTCATACTATATTTTCATCACAATTATAACTCACACACTATTTCTTTCTTGAAACATCAACCAAAACATCCTTGTTGTTTTTCAAAACAAACACCAACACTTTCAAAACATGTTACAAACTTGAAACATTTTCAAGAGACAAACACTTTGTACGCGTTCTTATATAAACAAGAGCCATTACAAAGAAAACCCTTTTCAAAATCACTTTCAAAAAACACCTTCCACAAACACTCCTTTGAACTATTTTCAAAACAACACTTTGTACGCGTTCTTATAGAAACGAGAACCATTACAAAGTCACATTTTCAAAATACTTTCAAAAACCACACAAAGCACATTTTCAAACAAAAGCAAGTGACCTAGCAAGCAACTAAGAGCCCGTAGAAAAATACGGATGAAAAGGGTGCTAATACCTTCCATTTTCATAATCTACCCCCCGAACTCAAGAAAACATCTCAAAGGTCTTTCCTGTTCTTTTCAACCTTTCCTTTGGATAAAAGAAAAGTCGGTGGCGACTCTTGCTAACCGCAATATTTACGATCAAACACAAAACACCCAAGTCAGTTCTCCCACCGTGTTACACATGGTTTTGAGATTGAATGGAGGTTGAAGATGACCAACATGTCATCCTTCAACCAATGAAACAACGTCATTTGGAATTTTTGAATTTCTGATTTTATATTGAATCTTGTGCTTTATTCAGTAATGACCATGATATGCACAGCACGCCAGATCCCTTGGATTTGATTACTAATTCGTTTTGACTCTCGTCCAATGGTCCACATATTTTTGGCTTTATTTTTTATTTCTGATTTTTATATATAATTGTTTTAAATTTCAAAAATTCATAGAAAATTCATTTTAACTCCAAAAAATCTGAAATTTCTTATG